AGGCTGCCACCCAGCCCTTCCTCCTTTCCTGCCACTAGGGAGGCAGTAGGCACTTCCCGCCTTTGGTCCAGAAGCCCTCAGCATTTCTTCCCTTGCTCTCATGAAAAGCCCCTCTCCGATATGACCCCCTCCCTCCCCCCGCCCCGCACACGCACACGCAGCTGCGCCCACCAGGCAGCAGGCCCAGACGGCACAGCACTAGAGAAGTTATTTTCCAGCCCGCAACTGCCAGCAGCTTTGTTCAAAGGAAAAGACAGTCCATTTTACTCCTGCAACTTCACTTCTCTTTCTTTTATTCCACAGCTTTCAGGTTCCCCCCTTGCAACCCAGGCCTCCTTCAGTTCCTTTCTTCTCTCCGTTTGGTCTCCTTGGAAAGCCAGCCCGTGTCCTTACCAGTCGGTACCAGCTCGCTCGGTGTGTGTTTCCAGGCGGTCTCAGCAGCTTGGCTCTTCCCAGGGGCCAGTGCTCACAAGATTAGCTCAGTTTCGTGGCAGGCAAGCGCTGGAGGCAGGGTGGTTCCACAAGGACCAGAAAAATGAAACCTAGAGACAAGGAGCGCGGTTAGGAAACGAGCAGTAACCACAGGCAGGGAACAGGTCAGAGAATCATGCTGCTGGTCCACGTTGTCATCTGTATGTTTCCCTTCATCCTTCATCTTCAGTCAGACTGAAAAGGAAGGATTCGTTTCACGGTAAAGGTTCCAGGTCATGCAAAGCCTGTTCAAGTAGCAGTTTAACACTAAAGGATTCAACAGGATAAGGAAGAAAATAAGAGCTGAATTCTAGAGACTTCATATAAATCTTTTGTATTTTGCCTAAACTGGTAGTTGATTTAAAGGAACGCTGAAGATACGGTGGGAGAGGTTAACAGGACAAGAACCACAAAGACTACGCACTTCAGGACCTCTCCAGGTAGCTGAGACAAACGCTAGTTTCTCCAAACAGGGCTCTAGAGGTCATAGTCTCTTTGCAGTTTTTCTAGGCACTCAGTTTATTTTTACTAGTACAATATAAGAAAACATTTAGGATCATCATAGTAAAGTAGAGCTGTAAGGGGCCTCGTGAACTCATCCAGTCCAGTCCCCTGCTCTAGGCAGGATCATCCCGGACTAAACCACCCCAGCAAAGCATCTGTCCAACCTGCTCTTAAAAACATTCAAATGTTCATGCATGGAGAGTCCAGGCAGTGCTGCAGCCCAGCCATTCATTCCCCAGTCTGCATCTGTGCCCACAACTATTCCATCCCAAGTGCAGGACTTTGTACTTGTCCTTGAACTTCATCTGATAAACTGGAAAAATGGTCTGCAGTCAATCAAGGTCTACTGGATCCTAACCTAGGGTGATCATCTTTTGAAAATGGAGAAGCAGGACACATGTCCACCTCCTACCCCACACCTATGGGTGGCATGACCAGAGTGAAGCCAAGCAGAGCCTGTGGGGGGCAGGGGAGGATGCAGACTGCCCATGGTGGGGCTCCCTGCTGCATTCGCCCCAGGACCTTCACAGTCCCAGCAGGCAGGCCCTGGCAAGGGAGGGTGAGGACCCTCAGTACTGCTGCCACTAGCCCTGTGCCAGCTACTCTGCCATGGTGAGGTGCCCCTTGCCAGGCCAGCAGCAGCAGGGGGCACAGCTACATGCTGCTGGCCCCACTGCTAGTGGGTGGGAAGGGGGTGCCTCGCCATGGCAGCACAGGTGGTGTGGGGCTCCCAGTGGCAGCGGCAAGGGCACCAAGCCTCCTCGTTCCGTTCTGCCTTCCTGCGCTGGGTCCTGCCTGCTGGGCCACGAGACCCTGAAGAGACAGCAGCAGGGCAAGGAGCCCACATCTGCCCTGACCCCATACACAAATCTGGGGAGGCAACTGCCCCACCCTCATGCTCCCTGTCTTGGGAGTGTGCACAGTGGTAGGGAGCTAGCCCCCCAGATGAGTTGCCTGTGGCTCAGTCCTGCTCCCCAGCCAGCCCCGCAACCTTGTGAAACTGCCTGCGCACTGCCCTGGCTGGGTTGTAACCCCAACCCCAGCCACCAGTCCTGCCTCACTCCCTCGCTTGCTGTGGGAGCCTCAATCTGGCCCCCCCTGGCCACCCTCCAATAGTTACCTGCAGGCAGCTGTTCCCTATGCCTGCCTGGCTGTATTCCTGGCCATGTGCATGTGTGTGTGTGCACATATGCACATGGCACTCCCTGCATCCCATCCCCAAGCAGCTCCCTGCAGGCTCTGCCAGATCCCTGCACGTGATACTGGGACAATAGCTGACTGTCCAGGGGAATCAGGGACAAATGCTGTCCCAGTCATTCAGCCCAAGACCGGGACTTAATGTTCACATTTTGGGACTGTCCTGTCCAAATTGGGACAGGTGGTCACCCTATCCTAGTCCTACCCTCCAGAGTATCTGCAACTCCACCCAACTTGGTGTCACATCCCCTTGGTGTCGCAATTGCATCATCCATATCTTTAATTAAGATGTTGAACAATACTAGACCCAGGACAAACCGCAGAGGAACCCCACTTCATACCTCCTGTGAACCACACATTGAGCCATTGATAACTACTTGCTGAGCACAATGATCTAACCAGTTTTATAGCCATGTTACAGTACTTTCATCTACAGTAAAAGCTGTGTTAACTGGCATTTAAGTAACTAGAACACTCTATTAACCGGTATTTCTGGCTGGCCGGCCAGATGTGTCGGGGGAAAAGCTCGCCACCGCTGCCACCCACCACCTTGTGCCGCCACCGCTCTGCGTACCCTCTTCCCCCTCATCTGTCCGGCCAAAAACCCCCTGCCCTCCAGTAACCAGAATTTTTGTATAACCAGCACCACCGCCCATCATGCTGGATAACAAAGCTTTTACTGTACAGTACTTCCATTTAAGTTAACAGGGCTTCCTCTGTGTGAGCAGCCGTACCTGAACTTTTCCGTAGCAGGGGTAGTCTGCATGTTAAATTCTGCAACGGGTACTCCCCTGGCAGACACCTGAGGAGCAAAACAAGCAGCTGGATACACCACAGAGGAAGTTCCAACCTAAAGGAACAACAAAACAGCAGCTTGGCATTTAAATACATTTACCACTATCTTGAAAACTTGTGACAGACTCCTTATTTTCACATCTTAAAGCACGCGCACTGCAGAACAGAGGCCAACAAACATGGTTTGATTATTATCCATGGAATAAATCTGGAGCTGTTCCCCTCAGATTTAACATGTTCCTCCCACCCCTCTCCCCCAGTCTCCAAAAGGAGGTAAATCACAATCTAATGAGACTCTCGAGCCCTTCTTTGTGACACCAGTGCAATAAACTAGTTTCAAAGAAAATGCACCTATGCTATGTAAATGTGCTAGAAATTCCTAAACAGCTATGTAAAAATTCAGGGGAAAAAGTGTAATTTTAAGTAGTCAGCACTGAAAAAAATTCAAGAGTTAAGTAAACATTAGTGTGGCTATACCGCTTGGGTACAGAAGCTCTTGCATTATTGCTTATTTAGCTAATGCATACCTCTAATGCAGACAGCACATGTAACTTGGCCAAGAAGTGTTAAGAGAACCAGAGCCCTTAAATTTCTTCAATGTTACATGATAATTTACATAAGCTACTACTTGCATGTGTCAAGTATATGCATCTCTTTTCTCAGAAACAGAATTTCTTAGCTTCAGCCTACTACATAAATTAATGGACCTACATAATTTATGTACATATTCCATAATTTTGGTTACATACTCCAAAGCCATGGTCACTTTGGAATTGTCACGTACCACCAAACAAAGATCACAGATCTCTAATTCTCTTTCAACCTCCGTGAGGATGTCAGAATCCAGAGTCTCTCCAAACCACACAACATGGGGACGGAGGAGGCCATTGCAACCAGGTTCTTCACACCTGTAGAAAGTGAAACAACTTGAGAGTGCCACTCAAAGCAGGAAGAAAGTGAAGTGACTCTGAACCTTGAATCAATGTAAGAACTTTTAATGACAAACCTATTTCACTTTTACTGGGTTTGTTAGCTCACATTTAGGAAGTTCAATCTGAGAATAATACTTACAGATGTTTCATACTATAGCTGAAGCTGAATTACATCTCTGATTCCAATCACCTGCTAATACTTTACAAATATGAGTCCTGCAACTTGCGGCACATTTCAAATGTTTTATTACATCTGGCCTGAATCATCCTACTATGATAAAGGGACTATTTTCTCCACTATAATTCAACTGCCCCTATAGGTAGTAGGTAGAGAATATGGCATCTGCTTAATAGGTGTTGAATGGTTCTGTCCAACAGCCTGAGAGGTAAGAAATAAAAAAAAAAAAAATACTGTACCTGAACTTTCTAAGGTAAGAAATAAAATACTGTAGATAATGCAAGAGGGTGAAGGAAATCCTTTACTGTTACATAAAGCACTACATGATACCTCACGGCCAGGAGACACCTTGCAGCAAACATCTCCCAACACAGTATTAGATGCTAACTTTGTGCTACCAACAGAATAACCCATACTGTAGTACTCAGCTTCTGTTGTTCATTTCCTCCACTCACGTTAAGTTCCATTCACTTAGCCTTGTCTTTACTAGCTGCTTAAAACAACTAACCTTTAAACCGTTGCCTGTTGTAATGTTATATTTAAATGTGGGCTGAGAACTTGAGGGCAGGGGCCACTTCTTTTGTAAAATGCTTTGACCCTTCTCATATTTAAACAATAAATTGATCCTCATAGGCATCTTTGTCAAGGCCTTGTGAAATCTGAGGGGATCACACTGGCATGATGACAAGAAAAGAAAGCTAACACTCACCGAGGAAGATCTTCAACTGGAATCTTGGCATCTTCTATTTCACGGCCTGGAGCGCTGGTATTAAAACAAAAAGCATTAAGTGACAAACAAAATGCAACCCCTGGGCCCCTTCCTCCTTTCCTTCCCACATATTGCATGTGTAGGTGTTCTACCCTCCTTCCTCAGATCCCTTGCTGCACTGCACCACATGAGCACCCCAGGCTACAGGCTCCCACACTGTGGGCTCCGCTGTGCTGTTCCCTGGGGCAGGAACATAAGCCAAAGGAGGAGGGGCAGCCTGAAGACGAACAATGGTGAGGAGTGGTGGCTGGTAGGACCCCAGGGCCACAAATTAACCCCTGCATGCAGCCCGTGGGTTACCAACTGGACAGCTCTGGTCAAAGGCAATTAACATTAAACCACTAATCTGACTCAGGTCAGCACATATAGCTCTGCAGTAACACAAAATTGTTATTAACTGCCCCAGAAATAAGTAAAACAGGCTCATAATGGTTTTAGAATAGCAAGAACAAGAATCCAGCATGACAGAGAGTCTCCACTCATCTGGAGTTTTAGAAGGCTATCTGGGAAACTGCAAAGGGAAAAAAGGGGGACAAAGCATACATCCATTTTTTTGCTTTTCTATAATGTAAGATAGGGATTGGCAACCCACAGCACGCTTGCGAGAGCATGGTACACGCCGCCATTTTCCGTGGTATGCCAAAGCCAACCCAGACTCTGGGCAGCTTCTGTCAGCAGCTTCCCAGAACCCAGGCTGGCTGCAGTTGGGAGGCTGCAAACAGCTGCATGGGACTCTGCAGTCCCAGCACCAGTTCCGTGGCCGTGGCAACTGTGCACAGACCTTTGGATGTATGGCAGAGAAGGAGTCTGGGGTAGCACAACCTGGCTCCTCTCCTACCATCTGCCCAGAGGCATGTGTAAAGCTGATGCTGCCATGGAGCCAGTGCCAGGGCTGCAGAGCCTGGCACAGCTGTTTGCAGCCTTCCAGACACCTGATACAGGCAGCTCTGGGCAGCTATAGTCCAATCAAAGTATAACTAACGGAAGGAAGAAAGAGGTAAGGGTTGACAAAGGGCCATGTGATTCCGTGTAAGATTTAGGATTAAGTGCCGTTTGTACACCAGATCTGTATCTTATAATATTCCAAAGCACTGCCACCATTCCAAAAGTTAAGGGTATAATTAAACCTCTAATCACAAGCTTCCAGAAATCTACAACTAAAAGAATGGACAGGAGTATAATGAAGAAATGAAGGGAAGTAGTCGTTATAACTGCTATTTCTAGACAAGACTGCTGTTGTAACAGTGTAGGCATAGTTAACAGCAAAATGTATGACACTATGCATGTGTGAGCAAATATTTGAAACAGTGAATTAAAATTTGTCATGACATTACAATTCAGTTCGGATTTGTTACTCAGAAGTCCTAACTAAGTGGTCTTTGAAATAAAGCTTTTGGGTTGCAGAACTTCCAAGAGGTTATTGTTCTTGAACAACATCTTTCAAGTTTTCATTTTGGGCAACCAAAGATATTTAATAGATCATGTAAGGTAGTGGTTTAAATAACACAATGGTGGATCCAAGTTATCTCCTGCTAGAATTATTTAATATATTATCATATGAGCTCTAATTTTAATTGTATACCTTCTTGCCAATCATCTTACCACTTTTAAAATGGGAAAAACTGCCCTATACTAAACACATCTTGGTAGTGAACTGCTTCAATGATCTGACATCCCACCATGCTCAATGAATAAAACTGAAGCTGCTGAAATAATATAACATCTCTCACAGCACCATGAGCGTTTAACTAGTTCTAAAAATCTCTTTCACTACAGATGACAAGTAGTAAGTAGTTAAATCAAAAACAAGAAAACAGGCTTTACAATGCAGATGCAGAATTACCCTTTCCCAGCCAGAGCTGCACATATAGGACTTTTGTAATTCTCTGTCACATTTCTACAGCTGGTGCATCGGGTTTTGAATAAGCTACCTGAAATGCACAAAAGAACAAGTCCAGCTTTTAATATCAAAACAGTGATTTTCATGTAAGACTATGGTTATGCATGCATATAGTTATATCCCTCCAAAATATTCCCTTATTTGGCACTGGAAAGTATATCCTGTGGGTAACCCCAGTTACAGGAATATGGAACAAAGCAATTACAGTCTGGTAGCCTAATGAATACACAGTTTATTGAGGTAAATGTACAAAGAATTTCTGATTCATAGTCAAAGAGGCTAATAGCACATTTATGCATAAAGCAGATGAGCAAAGACAGGAGTACAACTTTCATAGAAACTTCCACAACAAACCAGAGCAACAACCCCTCCAAATAAACCAAAATAAGTATATCTCATGACATCAGGCATGGCAACACAATGAAAATAATATTTGTAAATTTGATTAGAGAGAATCGAGTTTTCAATAAAACAAAATGTTTTGCTAAAGAGGGTCTGCTTTCTCTGGAAAATGTTTCTTTTTAATTCAAAAAACAAACATCTGAAAAAAACGCAATTTGGAAATACCAGCACAATGACTCTTGCAAGGCATATCACGTTTTACTTTCCCCTATGTAACAGGGTCCCAAGTTGGACTACATCTAGTTGGGTGTGTGCCTGGGCCCCCGCATCCAGGATTTTGGGTCCAAAGGAGGGCCACTCGGATGATCAGAGGGCAGCAAGGCAGGCCCTATGAGGGGAGGCTACGGGACCCGAACCTGTTCAGCCTCCACAAAAGAAGGCGGAGAGGGGATCTGGTGGCCGTCTATAAACTGGCCAAGGGAGACCAGCAGGCAATGGGAGAGTCCCTGTTCCCCCGAGCACTACCAGGAGTAACAAGGAATAACAGCCTTAAGTTGACTGAGAGTAGATTCAGACTAGATATCGGGAGGCACTACTTCACAGTCAGGGCGGCTAGGATCTGGAACCAACTTCCAAGGGCAGTGGTGCTCACTCCTACCCTGGGGAGTCTTCAAAAGGAGGCTAGATAATCACCTTGACAGGGTCATTTGACACCAGCATTCTTTCCTGCCCATGGCACGGGTTTGGACTTGAAGATCTGCTCAGGTCCCTTCCGACCCTACCAACTATGAAACTATCTCTACTTAGGCACTGTGGCCACAGTCTCACACAACATATGGCAGCAGCTCAAGGAAAGATGATGCCGTAATGAACATGGAGCTGAGGACTTGTCCTTGAACGGAGAATGAGGTCATGAGGCACTCAAAATACAATTCCAATAAGGTATCAAGTAGCATTTCTAAAGAACATTTTTGTTCGATTTCCACTAAACATTATGACTTAATTTCAATTTTTAATCAAAACACAAGTTCTGATCAGTTCTATAGCATCAGCGTGTCAGAGGACCTGTATGTACATATTGATTCTTACCATGAATTTCTAAGAGGTGCTTTGTGCCTGCCCTTCTATGGAGCTCATCAATGTTCTGGGTAATGACCACAACACTCCTTCCTTGTTTGCTTAATCTGGATTCACATTCCGCAATAGCAATATGTGCTGGGTTAGGCTTTTTACTCAGCATCACTTCCCGACGATAGTGATAAAATTCCCACACACGAGAAGGATTCCTTGCAAAGGCTTCTGGAGTAGCCAGTTCCTGCGAAACAAACCCATTTAGTTATAATAAATACAAGAAACCCAAGCCTTATAGAGTCATGTCTAAACTGCTGTGTGGATGAGAAGGTACTAAAAGAATCAGATTGTGTGTAACCCATTACAGCTGACAAGAATACAAATCAGTAGTCAGAGTTAATGCTGCTTACGTTTTAGGGGCATGACAAGTTAGTAATGTATTTCATACAATGAGAAAATGCCATGCACCAGTAAAGAAGTGCACACTTTTACTGTCGTATAATGTAAAATTCTGTAATTTCTCACTATGCATGTATTCTGCACTGTCCAACCACGCTTGCTATTGGGAATATAACTAAAACACAAGAAATAATTCAATGCAACAGTGGTGATAATTTATATGCATAAAGGGCAAGAAACTTACAAAAGCCGTAACACCTAGCATTTAGGTGCTGATGTTTGTACTGCTGGTCATTTCTTTTCTTCCTTAAATTAAGTCAGAGAAGTTACAGCTACTGTCAAAACCAAAGCCTAATGTTTTATCTGCTGTGTGCACTCCTGTAAAATCTCAGCCGTAACTCATTAACGTGGTTTTTGCATTCGGTTTTCTTGTTTAAAAGAAGGTATCGCTCAATTTAATAAATACATATTCATGTGGTTGGCCATTTTTGGTTGGTGGAGTGATTTCTACGGATATATTTGCAACAGTATATAACAATTGAGCATATCAAATTTCTTACACTAAAATAATCCAACATTTTTATAAACAAGTTCTGAATGCTCAGAAGTTGGAAAGCCCTGCTTCAGAAAGTATTGGGACCGATTGAGAACAAAACAAGAGAACTCACTCAATGTTCTTCATTCATGTTTTTTCTATCTGTCTTAATTCAGGAAGGTAAAAGATTTTTTTAGGGAAGGGAGGAGGCCAAAGGAAAAGCAAGTGGGAAGCAGCAAAGGAAAAAAAAAGGAACTGGCAGAAAAAAGGATCCAAGTATCTCTAGAAAAACTGTGTCCAAAACACACAGCCTTGCAAACAGCAAAAAGGAGAAGGCAGAGCTGCCCACAAGCATGAGGAGAAGCTATATAGATGGATGAACAGAAAACACTTTGCTACCACAGACACACAATGCGAGCAGTGCAACACTTTGAAAATACTAAATTTCTTCAGACCCCTTGAAATAGTACATTTTGAATAAACAGCACATTTTAATAAACAAACAACAGCACATATGTACACTGCATTTGAATTACACACCTGAGCTGGCCATTTCCTCCAAAAGCCCCCTGCACCTCTGAAGGTAGGAACACCACTCTCAGCACTAACACCAGCCCCTGTAATGATGGCTATGTGCTTTGACTTGGCAAATACTTCCCGAAAATCCGCCATGTCTAAACATAAAGGAAAAAAAAATAATTTTATTTAGATGCTGTTTAGCTATGGAACAGCAAAGATGGGAACAAAACAGAACAGCCATGCTCTTAATTTTAGAGACTTTATTCCTTCCTAAGTTTCTGTCTAACTAGAAGAGTCATCAACTGGGAACACATTTTTGGCTATGACCTTCACAAACCCTCTATGAACAGACCCATCAACAAGGGGACTACTCATATATATGAGTAAACAACATGGGATAAGAATTCAATACACTGAGACCATATGCTAAAATTACTACATAGGAACTTATAGGGATATAATGTTAACCTCAAAATACTGTACTTTCTAACATATCAATTTCTTTCTATCTTAGACATTTGTGAAAGGTCAGTCCTGCAGCTGGAATCTTGTTTGTGTAAAAATAAATGTAAAGTAGCTTGGAATATGACTTCTGCCTCTTAGTTACCTTCCCATTCTCTGTGCACTTGCATGATAGCTTCATTTTTGCATATCAGCGATTTTCCAGCTCCATACAACACAACTTGGAAAAATGACTCACCTTCCTTCCCCCTTTTTATAGCTAGTTAAAGACTTACGCCATATATTGAGACATACAGGGCATTTATACACGTGCTCTGGGACTGGAGGGGGCAGTGGGGAGGCACTTTAATTAGAGATGCTCTGAAAGCCACTCTAAAACACCTGGAGCATCTTGTGCATCAGGGTCCCCAAGCTAGAAAATGGCTGTGGGGTCGCATTATCTAAAGTTTCATAGATTTCATAGACATTAGGGCTGGAAGGGACCTCGGAAGATCATCGAGTCCAGCCCCCTGCCCAAAGGGCAGGAAGTCAGCTGGGGTCATAGGATCCCAGCAAGATAAGCATCCAGTTTGCTCTTGAAGGTGTTCAATGTAGGCGCTTGAACCACCTCTGGTGGCAGGCTGTTCCAGACCTTGGGGGCTCGGACAGTAAAGAAATTCTTCCTTATGTCCAGCCTGAAATGGTCTTGTCATAGTTTATGACCATTCGACCTGGTCGTCATCCCTTGGGGCGCTCTGGTGAACAAACGTTCCTCCAGATACTGGTGGTCACCCCTGATAAACTTGTAGGTGGCCATCAGATCACCCCTGAGCCTGCGCTTTTCCAGGCTAAAGAGCCCCAGGGCTCTCAGCCGGTCATCGTAGGGTCTGTTTCCCTGACCTCTGATCATGCGCGTGGCTCTTCTCTGGACTCTCTCAAGCTTCTCCACATCCTTTTTGAATTGTGGAGCCCAAAACTGGACGCAGTACTCCAGCTGCGGCCTCACTAAGGCCGAGTACAAGGGGAGAATGACGTCCCGGGATTTGCTTGAGAAGCATCTATGGATGCAACCCAGTGTTTTGGTCACTTTACTAGCCGCCGCATCGCATTGCAGGCTCATGTTCATCTTGTTGTCAATGATGACCCCCAAGTCTCTTTCTTCCATAG